TTTGACCCTGTGTTCATGTCTTGTTATTGCAGATACCATGAAGATCATCCACCAGGCACATGGAGCCAAGGTAAGTGCACACGGCTAGAGTCGGAGCCGTGTATACCGTGTCACATAGGTGTGTGAGATCAGAACTGTTCACTGTATTCACTCTGACAGTCAGAGATTTCCCTATGTACCCCATTGTACTTTATTCTTATAAACGTCCAACTTGGTGCCAAATCCTCAAATGTCCTGAGGGGCGAAATAAATAATAAAACAGGAAAATAACAGCGAACGAAGGAACTCATTTGGACTGATTAGGGGAAATTCAGGGTAATGAGGGGTTACAAAGTAACACATTTAAAGGTTGGTTCAACTGACATCCTATCAGATTGAAGCTCAACCCTTTGATCAGAGGGAGATAGAGAGATACAAAGTAACATTGTTTATAAACATTGATCAGAGGGAGATACCAGATTGTATTTGTTGTTTCAGACCAATGAGCTGGTGGTGGGTCTGGAGGATGACGATAAATTGATCCTGCGGAGTGGACAGACCCTGCGGGAGGCCGGTGTAGGTGAGATCTGAATGGTGTCACTTTCTGAAGTGTTTTATGAAGAAACATCAGCCAATCAGAGCCAAGCCTGCCAGGGCTAATGGGGGATGTTTTCAAAGCTAATAGCCTCCAGGGTGATGTCATTGACCAGCTGTGACACTGAGCCTCAGCACCCACTTCCTGTCACTCGGCTGTCATTTTCATCTTCTTATTACAAGATGGGTGACACAATGGTACCAATGTCTGGAGTTTATTTCCAACATTTAAATCTCTGTGCGCTCGGTATTCCTGTGTATGGGGTTTGGAACTTGGAGGGTGTGGGATTGGAGGCGGAGAAGAGGGAGGGTGTGGGATTGGAGGCGGAGAAGAGGGAGGGGGTGGGAGACACACTTTCTATGGACTAGACTAGAGGTGGTGTAGATCTGTTACCATGCAGGATTGTGGTGTGTGTTGGTTCTGTATGTGTACAGTGCATGGCACTTTGTGTCCCTCAGATGTCCCATCCAGCTCTTAGTACACATGGATGCTCACCAGGGGGCGCCGTGTCTCCTGATGCCGTCCTGTGTGTAGTACACATGGATGCTCACCAGGGGGCGCCGTGTCTCCTGATGCCGTCCTGTGTGTAGTACACATGGATGTCCAGCAGGGGGCGCCGTGTCCCATGATGCCGTCCTGTATGTAGTACACATGGATGTCCAGCAGAGGGCGCCGTGTCTCCTGATGCCGTCCTGTATGTAGTACACATGGGTGCTCACCAGGGGGCGCCGTGTCCCATGATGCCGTCCTGTGTGTAGTACACATGGATGTCCAGCAGAGGGCGCCGTGTCTCCTGATGCCGTCCTGTATGTAGTACACATGGATGTCCAGCAGGGGGCGCCGTGTCCCATGATGCCGTCCTGTATGTAGTACACATGGATGTCCAGCAGGGGGCGGCGTGTCCCATGATGCCGTCCTGTATGTAGTACACATGGATGTCCAGCAGGGGGCGCAGCATGCTTTTTGTAGCTCCACCACTAAATCTGTCCTGATGCTTTCCTTCAGTGGTCATCGGGGCTGATTGCTGGGGCAGCTCGGTGTGATGGGGTTCAGTTGGCGCCGGTTCCTGTGGCCCCCCTCCCCCGGTGTGATGGGGTTCAGTTGGCGCCGGTTCCTGTGGCCCCCCCTCCCCCGGTGTGATGGGGTTCAGTTGGCGCCGGTTCCTGTGGCCCCCCCTCCCCCGGTGTGATGGGGTTCAGTTGGCGCCGGTTCCTGTGGCCCCCCCTCCCCCGGTGTGATGGGGTAGAAGTCATCGGGTTATACTGCCGCCTACAGGAGGACACAGGCCTTGTAGCCCCGCCCACTCCCAGCATGCCTCAGATCTTAAGGTGTATTAAGTCTCAGCGCAAACACGGGAATCACCTCCTGGAGGGTGATGACCAGATGTCACTTCCTGTTGTGTCTCTGGGGACAGGAAGTGAGGGAAATGTCCCCGATAGGACACAAAACCTCCGTCCCGCCTCCATCCAAAACCAATAAAAATCTTTTTTGGTCCTCCGGTGTCGTGTAAAAAAAATCTCTGACCAATCGGAGGGCCCGGTGATCGGTTTCCCGGCGCAGAGATTCCAGACAGCGGACGGTAAAATATTTATTAGGAAGATTCCGAATAATAACCACGACGGCATCCCATAATATACAGACACCTCCGATCACGCTGATTGTAGGACACGTCAGAGAGCCGCAGAGCTGACACCCGGATCCCCCGACATTCATAATAATACTTTTCATCGAACAG